CAAAATACTTTTGTGCCTTCTCGGTGAAGTTTTTAGACGAAATGCTTTGTGCCTTCTGGTTGAGTTTTTTTAGACAAAATGCTTTGTGCCTTCTGGGTGAAGTTTTTAGACGAAAATGCTTTTTGTGCCTTCTGGGTGAAGTTTTTAGACGAAATGCTTTGTGCCTTCTGGTGAAGGGAAGTTTTTAGACGAAATGCTTTGCGCCTTCTGGCTGAAGTTTTTAGACCGAACTGCTTGCCTTCTGGGTGAAGTTTTTAGACGAAATGCTTTTGTGCCTTCTTGGTGAAGTTTTTAGACAAAATGCTTTGTGCCTTCTGGGTGAAATTTTTAGACGAAACGCTTTGTGCCTTCTGGGTGAAGTTTTTAGACAAAATGCTTTGTGCCTTCTGGGTGAGTTTTTAGACGAAATGCTTTGTGCCTTCTGGGTGAAGTTTTTTAGACGAAATGCTTTGTCCGTACTGGGTGAAGTTTTTAGGCAAAACCTTTGTGCCTTCTGGATGACGTTTTTAGACAAAATACTTTGTGCCTTCTGGGTGAAGCCTTTTTTTAGACGAAATGTTTTGTGCCTTCTCGGTGAAGTTTTTAGACGAAATGCTTTGTGCCTTCTGGGTGAAATTTTTAGACAAAACGCTTTGTGCCTTCTGGGTGAGGTTTTTTTTTAGACAAAACGCTTTGTGCCTTCTGGGTGAGGTTTTTAGACAAAATGCTTTGTGCCTTCTGGGTGAAGTTTTTAGACGAAATGTTTTTGTCCGTACTGGGTGAAGTTTTTAGGCAAAACGCTTTGTGCCTTCTGGATGACGTTTTTTAGACAAAATACTTTGTGCCTTCTGGGTGAAGTTTTTTAGACGAAATGTTTTGTGCCTTCTCGGTGAAGTTTTTAGACGAAATGCTTTGTGCCTTCTGGGTGAAGTTTTTAGACAAAACGCTTTGTTTTGTGCCTTCTGGTTGAAGTTTTTTCAGACAAAACGTTTTGTAAAGTTTTAGACAAAATACTTTGTGCCTTCTGGGTGAAGTTTTTAGACGAAATGCTTTGTGGCTTCTTGGTGAAGTTTTTAGACAAAATGCTTTGAGGCTTCTCGGTGAAGTTTTAGACGAAATGCTTTGTGCCTTCTGGTTGAAGTTTTTTTAGGCAAAATGCTTTTTGCATTCTGGGTGAAGTTTTTAGACGAAATGCTTTGTGCCTTCTGGGTGAAATTTAGACGAAATGTTTTGTTTAGACAAAATACTTTGCGCATTCTGGGTGATGCTTTTTTTAGACGAAATGCTTTTGACGAAATGCCTTCTGGTTGAAGTTTTTAGACAAAACGCTTTTTTTTAGACGAAATGATTAGCGCCTTCTGGGTGAAGTTTTTAGACGAAATGCTTTGTGCCTTCTGGTTGAACTCTTTAGACAAAATACTTTGTGCCTTCACGGTGAAGTTTTTAGACGAATTGCTTTGTGCCTTCTGAGTGAAGTTTTTAGACAAAACGTTTTGTGCCTTCTGGATGAAGTTTTTAGACAAAATACTTTGTACCTTCTGGGTGAAGTTTTTAGACGAAATGCTTTGTGCCTTCTTGGTGAAGTTTTTAGACAAAATGCATTGTGCCTTCTGGTTGAAGTCTTTAGACAAAATACTTTGTGCCTTCTCGGTGAAGTTTTTAGACGAAATGCTTTGTGCCTTCTGGTTGAAGTTTTTAGACAAAATGCTTTGTGCCTTCTGGGTGAAGTTTTAGACGAAATGCTTTGTGCCTTCTGGGTGAAGTTTTTAGACGAAATGCTTTGTGCCTTCTGGGAGAAGTTTTTAGACGAAATGCTTTGCGCCTTCTGGCTGAAGTTTTTAGCCGAACTGCTTTGTGCCTTCTGGGTGAAGTTTTTAGACGAAATGCTTTGTGCCTTCTTGGTGAAGTTTTTAGACAAAATGCTTTGTGCCTTCTGGGTGAAATTTTTAGACGAAACGCTTTGTGCCTTCTGGGTGAAGTTTTTAGACAAAACGCTTTGTGCCTTCTGGGTGAGGTTTTAGACGAAATGCTTTGTGCCTTCTGGGTGAAGTTTTTAGACGAAATGCTTTGTCCGTACTGGGTGAAGTTTTTAGGCAAAACGCTTTGTGCCTTCTGGATGACGTTTTTTTAGACAAAATACTTTGTGCCTTCTGGGTGAAGTTTTTTTTAGACGAAATGTTTTGTGCCTTCTCGGTGAAGTTTTTAGACGAAATGCTTTGTGCCTTCTGGGTGAAGTTTTTAGACAAAACGCTTTGTGCTTTTCTGGGTGAAGTATTTAGACGAAATTCTTTGCGCCTTCTTGGTGAAGTTTTTAGACAAAATGCTTTGTGGCTTCTGGGTGAAGTTTTTAGACAAAATGCTTTGAGGCTTCGCGGTGAAGTTTTTAGACGAAATGCTTTGTGCCTTCTGGTTGAAGTTTTTAGGCAAAATGCTTTTTGCATTCTTGGTGAAGTTTTTAGACGAAATGCTTAGCGCCTTCTGGCTGAACTTTTTAGACGAAATGCTTTGTGCCTTCTGGGTGAAATTTTTAGATAAAATACTTTGTGGCTTCTGGGTGAAGTTTTTAGACAAAATACTTTGCGCATTCTGGGTGAAGTTTTTAGACGAAATGCTTTGTGCCTTCTGGTTGAAGTTTTTAGACGAAATGCTTAGCGCCTTCTGGGTGAAGTTTTTAGACGAAATGCTTTGTGCCTTCTGGTTGAACTCTTTAGACAAAATACTTTGTGCCTTCACGGTGAAGTTTTTAGACGAATTGCTTTGTGCCTTCTGAGTGAAGTTTTTAGACAAAACGTTTTGTGCCTTCTGGGTGAAGTTTTTAGACAAAATACTTTGTACCTTCTGGGTGAAGTTTTTAGACGAAATGCTTTGTGCCCTCTTGGTGAAGTTTTTAGACGAAATGCATTGTGCCTTCTGGTTGAAGTCTTTAGACAAAATACTTTGTGCCTTCTCGGTGTAGTTTTCAGACGAAATGCTTTGTGCCTTCTGGTTGAAGTTCTTAGACAAAATAATTTGTGACATCTGGGTGAAGTTTCTAGACGGAATGTTTTGTGCCTTCTGGGTGAAGTTTTTAGACGAAATGTTTGCGCCTTCTGGGTGAAGTTTTTAGACAAAATGCTTTGTGCCTTCTCGGTGAAGTTTTAGACGAAATGCTTTGTGCCTTCTGGTTGAAGTTTTTAGGCAAAATGCTTTTTGCATTCTGGCTGAAGTTTTTAGACGAAATGCTTTGTGCCTTCTGGGTGAAATTTTTAGACAAAATACTTTGCGCATTCTGGGTGAAGTTTTTAGACGAAATGCTTTGTGCCTTCTGGGTGAAGTTTTTAGACGAAATGCTTAGCGCCTTCTGGGTGAAGTTTTTAGACGAAATGCTTTGTGCCTTCTTGTTGAACTCTTTAGACAAAATACTTTGTGCCTTCACGGTGAAGTTTTTAGACGAAATGCTTTGTGCCTTCTGGTTGAAGTCTTTAGACAAAATAATTTGTGCCTTCTCGGTGAAGTTTTTAGACGAAATGCTTTGTGCCTTCTGGTTGAAGTTTTCAGACAAAACGTTTTGTACCTTCTGGGTGAAGTTTTTAGACAAAATACTTTGTGCCTTCTGGGTGAAGTTTTTAGACGAAATGCTTTGTGGCTTCTTGGTGAAGTTTTTAGACAAAATGCTTTGAGGCTTCTCGGTGAAGTTTTTAGACGAAATGCTTTGTGCCTTCTGGTTGAAGTTTTTAGGCAAAATGCTTTTTGCATTCTGGGTGAAGTTTTTAGACGAAATGCTTTGTGCCTTCTGGGTGAAATTTTTAGACAAAATACTTTGCGCATTCTGGGTGAAGTTTTTAGACGAAATGCTTTGTGCCTTCTTGTTGAAGTTTTTAGACGAAATGATTAGCGTTTTCTGGGTGAAGTTTTTAGACGAAATGCTTTGTGCCTTCTGGTTGAACTCTTTAGACAAAATACTTTGTGCCTTCACGGTGAAGTTTTTTAGACGAATTGCTTTTGTGCCTTCTGAGTGTTTTTTTTTTAGACAAAACGTTTTGTGCCTTCTGGATGAAGTTTTTAGACAAAATACTTTGTACCTTCTGGGTGAAGTTTTTAGACGAAATGCTTTGTGCCTTCTTGGTGTTTTTTTTAGACAAAATGCATTGTGCCTTCTGGTTGAAGTCTTTAGACAAAATACTTTGTGCCTTCTCGGTGAAGTTTTTAGACGAAATGCTTTGTGCCTTCTGGTTGAAGTTTTTTAGACAAAATGCTTTGTGCCTTCTGGGTGAAGTTTTAGACGAAATGCTTTGTGCCTTCTGGGTGAAGTTTTTAGACGAAATGCTTTGTGCCTTCTGGGAGAAGTTTTTAGACGAAATGCTTTGCGCCTTCTGGCTGAAGTTTTAGCCGAACTGCTTTGTGCCTTCTGGGTGAGTTTTTTAGACGAAATGCTTTGTGCCTTCTTGGTGAAGTTTTTAGACAAAATGCTTTGTGCCTTCTGGGTGAAATTTTTAGACGAAACGCTTTGTGCCTTCTGGGTGAAGTTTTTAGACAAAACGCTTTGTGCCTTCTGGGTGAGGTTTTTAGACGAAATGCTTTGTGCCTTCTGGGTGAAGTTTTTAGACGAAATGCTTTGTCCGTACTGGGTGAAGTTTTTAGGCAAAACGCTTTGTGCCTTCTGGATGACGTTTTTAGACAAAATACTTTGTGCCTTCTGGGTGAAGTTTTTAGACGAAATGTTTTGTGCCTTCTCGGTGAAGTTTTTAGACGAAATGCTTTGTGCCTTCTGGGTGAAGTTTTTAGACGAAATGCTTTGTGCCTTCTGGGTGAAGTTTTTAGACGAAATGCTTTGTGCCTTCTGGTTGAAGTTTTCAGACAAAACGTTTTGTACCTTCTGGGTGAAGTTTTTAGACAAAATACTTTGTGCCTTCTGGGTGAAGTTTTTAGACGAAATGCTTTGTGGCTTCTTGGTGAAGTTTTTAGACAAAATGCTTTGAGGCTTCTCGGTGAAGTTTTAGACGAAATGCTTTGTGCCTTCTGGTTGAAGTTTTTAGGCAAAAATGCTTTTTTGCATTCTGGGTGAAGATTTTTAGACGAAATGCTTTTTGTGCCTTCTGGGTGAAATTTTTAGACAAAATACTTTGCGCATTCTGGGTGAAGTTTTTAGACGAAATGCTTTGTGCCTTCTGGTTGAAGTTTTTTAGACGAAATGATTAGCGCCTTCTGGGTGAAGTTTTTAGACGAAATGCTTTGTGCCTTCTGGTTGAACTCTTTAGACAAAATACTTTGTGCCTTCACGGTGAAGTTTTTAGACGAATTGCTTTGTGCCTTCTGAGTGAAGTTTTTAGACAAAAACGTTTTGTGCCTTCTGGATGAAGTTTTTAGACAAAATTCTTTGTACCTTCTGGGTGAAGTTTTTAGACGAAATGCTTTGTGCCTTCTTGGTGAAGTTTTTAGACAAAATGCATTGTGCCTTCTGGTTGAAGTCTTTAGACAAAATACTTTGTGCCTTCTCGGTGAAGTTTTTTAGACGAAATGCTTTGTGCCTTCTGGTTGAAGTTTTTAGACAAAATGCTTTGTGCCTTCTGGGTGAAGTTTTAGACGAAATGCTTTGTGCCTTCTGGGTGAAGTTTTTAGACGAAATGCTTTGTGCCTTCTGGGAGAAGTTTTTAGACGAAATGCTTTGCGCCTTCTGGCTGAAGTTTTTAGCCGAACTGCTTTGTGCCTTCTGGGTGAAGTTTTTAGACGAAATGCTTTGTGCCTTCTTGGTGAAGTTTTTAGACAAAATGCTTTGTGCCTTCTGGGTGAAATTTTAGACGAAACGCTTTGTGCCTTCTGGGTGAAGATTTTTTAGACAAAACGCTTTGTGCCTTCTGGGTGAGGTTTTTAGACGAAATGCTTTGTGCCTTCTGGGTGAAGTTTTTAGACGAAATGCTTTGTCCGTACTGGGTGAAGTTTTTAGGCAAAACGCTTTGTGCCTTCTGGATGACGTTTTTAGACAAAATACTTTGTGCCTTCTGGGTGAAGTTTTTAGACGAAATGTTTTGTGCCTTCTCGGTGAAGTTTTTAGACGAAATGCTTTGTGCCTTCTGGGTGAAGTTTTTAGACAAAACGCTTTGTGCTTTCTGGGTGAAGTATTTAGACGAAATTCTTTGCGCCTTCTTGGTGAAGTTTTTAGACAAAATGCTTTGTGGCTTCTGGGTGAAGTTTTTAGACAAAATGCTTTGAGGCTTCGCGGTGAAGTTTTTAGACGAAATGCTTTGTGCCTTCTGGTTGAAGTTTTTAGGCAAAATGCTTTTTGCATTCTTGGTGAAGTTTTTAGACGAAATGCTTAGCGCCTTCTGGCTGAACTTTTAGACGAAATGCTTTGTGCCTTCTGGGTGAAATTTTTTAGATAAAATACTTTGTGGCTTCTGGGTGAAGTTTTTAGACAAAATACTTTGCGCATTCTGGGTGAAGTTTTTAGACGAAATGCTTTGTGCCTTCTGGTTGAAGTTTTTAGACGAAATGCTTAGCGCCTTCTGGGTGAAGTTTTTAGACGAAATGCTTTGTGCCTTCTGGTTGAACTCTTTAGACAAAATACTTTGTGCCTTCACGGTGAAGTTTTTAGACGAATTGCTTTGTGCCTTCTGAGTGAAGTTTTTAGACAAAACGTTTTGTGCCTTCTGGGTGAAGTTTTTAGACAAAATACTTTGTACCTTCTGGGTGAAGTTTTTAGACGAAATGCTTTGTGCCTTCTGGGTGAAGTTTTTAGACGAAATGCATTGTGTCCTTCTGGTTGAAGTCTTTAGACAAAATACTTTGTGCCTTCTCGGTGTAGTTTTTAGACGAAATGCTTTGTGCCTTCTGGGTGAAGTTTTTAGACGAAATACTTTGCGCCTTCTGGGTGAAGTTTTTAGACAAATTGTTTTGTGTCTTCTGGGTGAAGTTTTTAGACGAAATGCTTTGTGCCTTCTGGTTGAAGTTTTTAGACAAAATGCTTTGTGCCTTCTGGGTGAAGTTTTTAGACAAAATGCTTTGTGCCTTCTGGGTGAAGTTTTTAGACGAAATGCTTTGTGCATTCTAGGTGAAGTTTTTAGACGAAATGCTTTGTGCCTTCTTGGTGAAGTTTTTAGAGAAAATAATTTGTGCCATCTGGGTGAAGTTTTTAGACGAAATGCTTCGCGCCTTCTGGGTGAAGGTTTTAGACGAATTGCTTTGTGCCTTCTGGGTGAAGTTTTTAGACAAAATACTTTGTGCCTTCTCGGTGCAGTTTTTAGACGAAATGCTTTGTTCCTTCTGTGTGAAGTCTTTAGACGAAATGCTTTGTGCCTTCTGGTTGAAGTTTTTAGACAAATTGCTTTGTGCCTTCTGGGTGAAGTTTTTATACGAAATGCTTTCATGCATTCTGGTTGAAGTTTTTAGACGAAATGCTTTGTGCCTTCTGGTTGAAGTTTTTAGACAAAATGCTTTTTGCCTTCTGGGTGAAGTTTTTAGGCGAAATTCTTTGTGCCTTCTGGTTGAAGTTTTTAGACGAAACGGTTTGTGCCTTCTGGGTGATGTTTTTAGACGAAATGCTTTGTGCCTTCTGAGTGAAGTTTTTAGACAAAAAGCTTTCTACCCTCTGGGTGAAATTCTTCGTCAGACGTTTTTTTGCCTTCTGTTGTAACGTATACATGAGGTTGTAGTTTTGCTGGAAGACAAAACAACAATCCGGACGAAGTTTTACAACTGAGCGCATTAGATTTTTCCCCAAATCTCTCTATATCTTTCATTTTTCACGATTCTTTCCACCCTCACAAGAATCACAGTTACAGACCCGCTGAACTATCTCCACATTATTATACTTGCAAGAGCATGTTTAATTTGGTAACGATTTTCTTTACGTTATCCTACTCTTTTTTTTCTTTCTCCAAAAATTGGTAAACAGCAATGGTCAAAGAGCTCGACTTTCATCTCATTTAATCAAATCCCACGCTTCATCTTTTTCTAGCTTAACCATAGCATAATCCAGTCTGACTGAGGTCTCTTTTGTAGAAGTGTATTATTTTAGTATTTGAACTTGCAATCCATCCCAGTGTAGTATTTTAGGAAGTGTTTTAATTGAGGTTTCAATTCCAGAGTATGTTAAATCTTTCACTAGTATTGGAAGATATATTTCTAGAATGTTTAGACAAATTCCTCACTAGTTTTCTTTCCAGAGTCTTTGAAAAATCTTTAATTCTTAATTTTGTCAGTCTTGTTCTGCAGTGTGTGGTTTCCTTTGAAGTTCTGGAAAATACTTCTCACTTTCGTTCTTGACACATGGAAACGTTTTAATAACCTTCTTTAATATTCTTTCCCAGCTTTGAGAGCATCGACAATTCTTTTACTAAACTAATTTCTTTTGTTTTTGATATGATGCCTTAAAAATAACAGAGGAAACCCTTACCTAAGTTGTTATACAGTTAGTATATTGGAAGACAGCATACGTCGTTAACATCAATTAACAAGCTTAAAGCGCTAATAAATTAAAGCAAATTTTCAGTTTTCTGCTATGGCGCAATAAAAAAAAAAGGTCACTTCTTAAGTGTGAGGACTAATACTGCTGACCCTGGTAGATTTTGGATTGTTTGAAACAATTCTATTATTGCATGTATATGAAAATAAATAAATTTACACTTCTTGAAAAGAATAGCATTGAAAAGAAAAAACAGTGGTTGGTTAAAAACAAAGCAAAAAAAAAAAAAAAAAAGGAAAAACCAGTAGAAAATCTTATAATAGAAGTCACTTCTCAAGGGGGATTGTTAATAATTTTGTCCTTAGATCTATCTATCTATCTATCTATATATCTATATATCTATCTATCTATCTGCAACAAATGCAATAAAAAGCAGGATACATTTAACATTGAGAAGGTCAGACCTAAATTTAAATTTGTGACGTTTTACATATTATATTATATTTATTATATATATATATATATATATATATATATATATATATATATATATATATATATATATATTAAATTTTAAGTGTTTGATATTCATTAATTTATAATTTTGGTCTACCTCTTGACATTGAGCTGTCTGGATCTATATCCTCTTGGAAATTCCATACGGAAAAGCATTTTCTATCACACACACACACACACACATATATATATATATATATATATATATATATATATATATATATATATATATATATATATATATATATATATATATATATATATATTATTTATTCGAAAATTATAACATAAATATATTATGTTACAAAATAGCCATTTTGTTTCAACACTTCTGGTGTCTTATCAAGTGATGGTGTTGAATGTATAATAAAGGCTTTTAAAAGGTTCGAATCAATCACCCCACCTCGCTAAGGGGAAACGCTGTTACATGAACTGGAATGACCAATCAAAATACAAGTTTATGAGAATTCAAAAAACTTGATAACGAACCTTGGTTATAATAATTATTTACTGCCTTAATTTTAGGGTTAGACTAAAATAGAATTCATTCTGATAAATATTAAATTATACTATAAAATTCAAAATTCAAAATAACCAATTTTAAATTTAATCTATATTAAGTTTGAAATTATAAAATTATTTAAAGTAGAAACTGAGGAAAAAATACATATGTTTTTCTATTTATTTTGTTTTAATTGAAATTAAGTTGGAATAAACGTTAAAATCTAATGCTGCTCTGAACTCCGTTACAACTTAGATACATTTGAAGTGAAGATATAGGCAAGGGAGGGTAAAATCTTACAAAAGACAATACATACACAATCAGATTATAATACACAAACACGTAGACATATTTATATATATAAACACGCAAAAAAGCGACGAGACAGGAAATATGTCCGCCACCCTTAAAAAGGAAAAGGAGAAAAAAAAGACAACATATACATACAATGAAAGGCACATATAAGCGATTATACACACATACATTGATAAAGACACGCTCATATATCCACCAAGAAATATTCAAATTTGAAAGTGTTAGTAAACGAATTCTAACTTAGAGGGGCAAAGAGATATAGATAAAAATGGTTGAATATGGTTTAATATGAGTAGAATAGAAAAACAAATATTCATCAATGAACAACATAAGGAAAAAGGACATTAAAATATACAGAAATGGATAGAAAAATAAATATATACGCATAAGAATAACACCATCTAATGTATAAGAAAGAAAACTCCTAAACACATAAATATATTAAAGACATTTTTATGTTTAACATTTTTTAATAAATTGTCGGACTTTGTCCAATTCTTAATGTACACATAAATATATATAAATATCTCATATATATATACTTATATACGTATTAGTACACACACACGAGTACAAATATATAACAATATTCGAAAGAAAAGAAAAAAAATTGAATTAGGTTCGTTATATTCACTTACACGCAAATACACTTGGGAAAGTTTTGAATCCACTTTGTATGCCCCCAGCTGTGGGTTAACTAGTAGGACTTCTTAGTGGATAGTCTTATTAGTAAAAAGATAGTAATGAAATTACAAACCTCTGCCCTAAAATTTTTGTACAAGCTAATAATAATAATAATAATAATAATAATAATAAGCACATACACTAAAATATTGTGTCAGCCCAAAATGCAGATTCTGCGATAAATATCCAGAAACGATTGATCATCTTGTATCAGGTTGCACGATATTGGTACCCACTGAATATAAAACCCGGCATGACAGAGTGGGCCAATATCTGCACTGGAAAATCTGCAACTTCTACGGGAAGGAAACTGAAAGAAACTGGTATGAACACCACCCAGACCCGGTTACGGAGATAGGACCTGTTACAATTCTATGGGACTACACAATACACACTGACAGAACAATCAAAGCCAACCGCCCAGATATTGTTATTAAAGACCACAAACCAAAAAGTGCCTCCTTATTGATATGGCAGTCCCTGCAGACTGCAATGTATCTTTGAAGATCTTCAAAAAGCTGTCAAAATACAAGGACCTTGAAATAGAAATCTCGAAAATGTGGCATATGGGAACATCAACAATCCCTGTTGTAGTTGGTGCCCTAAGACTGGTTGGAAAAGATTCCAGTAGACTAATTGAAGGGATTCCTGGAAGTCTATGCCTCAAGGAGATACAAAAAATTGTTCTGACAAGTACAGCCCACACTTTACGAAGGGCTTTATCTATGTAATTTTTTTTTTATTGTCAGTGGAAAGTGTCATGATGCCATTTCTAACCTTAGGTCCCTGGGCGGGACCCGGAAAGAAATGTGTACACGCAAGAAATCAAAGAAAATAATAATAATAATAATGATAATAATAATAATAATAATAATAATAATTATAATAATAATAATAATAAACAGTAAAATCATTAAAAAAACTTTCAATCTAAAAGAATAGTTTTTGGCTTTAAATAACCTGGAAATGGTTGATAAACCGTAAAAAACTAATCAAGTAATCAAATTCCAATAGATGCTCAAGGTACAGGGCTTCCTTGAGGGAACATCTGTAAGATTTTATGAAGTTTATCTGATGTTCTTACAATTTTATATTTTAGAAGGAATAAAGGATGTGCGATTATTTTTTATGACAGGTCAAAATTTACACAATTAAGAAAAATATTACCGAATCTCTCAAAAAGCAAGCGAACAAATTTATTACAACATTAAGGTCAGTCAGTTAAGTGCCATATGTAATACACGCTTGGGGGAGGGGGGTAAGTAAAAAAATTAATAAAATCATTGCAGATTATCAACCTGGAAACCATTACGGAAATTTAAAAACCTATAAACAAATTTTTCCCTCTAATACATCATATCTTGTAGAACTCTTATCCTGTTTCTTGCTTCTCAGTCGACTTTGTTCTTCAAACATTTAGATGCAATGTCAATCGTTATTTTCAGTTTTCTTAATTCTTTTTCTTTTATTGTCCTCTCTCCTTAATAGTATATTTTTTCTGTTATTCGCTAGCACTTAGAACTCTCTGTCTTAGTGTCTTAGTGGATAGTCTTATATTAGTAAAAAGATAATAATGAAATTACAAACCTCTGCCCTAAAATTTTCGTACAAGCTAATAATAATAATAATAATAATAATAATAATAATAATAATAATAATAATAATAATAATAAATGACACCAACACTAAAATATAGTATAATAAAACATTAATAACTTTGAATGCAACCAGATCCAAACAAATTATAAATAGGACAGATTCACCATGCAACTTGACATTAGGCAATGCAATTCATTCGTTGACACTAGCAAAAAATATTATATAGAAAATTAAACACTACCAACCTCATAATTACAAATAACAATACTTCTGTAAAATCTAAACTAAAAACAATCAGTAGTATATTAATTTACTTAACCAGTACAAATCTGTGTCTCTTGCCATAAAACGATAACCTACATTACATACACTATGGCCATCCTATCCCGAACGATGACAAATGACTTTAGTTATATGTGCCCCCCAAAAAAGCATCTTGACACCCACAGACAACTGCATGCACCTGTAAGAAATTTTAGGTTGATAATACCATTATTTTAAAGAGATTTAACTGCTGGAAGCGAC